CACACACACACACACACACACACACACACAAACCCACACCCACCCACACCCACCCACCCACACATAGGTCGTCATCGTGTCTCTTCTTTTTAAGTCTCACCTTCCTGGTTCGAACTCTGGACCACCTTCTCGAAGTGTTTTCCTCCACAGGTGATCGAGTTTGCCGTCAGCTTATTCACAACTGACATTCCTAGCTTCACACAGTTGACGCACGATGGACACACAAACACATAACTGAATTGGGTCGGAATGTGGACCGTGTCCATGTTGGTGTGATAAGTGTGCTGTTATCACCGAAGAGACCTGCACAGAATGAATCGTAGCAATGCTTGCTTTTTTTAATTTTTTATTTTTCAAGAGGATCCCAAACAGCTCGGTCACTGAGTAGGGCGGCGCGTTTCGGGCGTACTTTTGGTTTTCTGCTGATAACCTACTTGTTACAACTCAAATGTGTGAGGATCATTGGCCACCTCTGAGGCCGGCTGGGGATATCTGATATTCATTAGGGAAAAAGCTTTTCCGGGTGCCGAGGCACCAACTTACGCACGGACACACGCCCAATTTCCCAGGGCGGGCATGACCCCTGGGCAGGGAGTTCCAGGCAGCCCCAGTGCAAAAAAAGAAAAAGAAAAAAAGAAAAGAAAAGAAAAGAAAAGAAAAGAAAAGAAAAGAAAAGAAAAGAAAGGGATGCTGGACCCGTTTTTCAGCAGGTGATGCTCCCCACAAATAGATGGAGCCTCCCTTGGGGTGTTAGCGGTGATTGCTCTTATCAACACCTCTAGCACTCGCAAGAGATGTTTTCTTCAAAAAAAAAAAAGAAAAAAAAAAGAATAAGGCATCCCCCTTTAGACCCGTTTGCCAGGTTTACCCCTTTTAGAACCCATTGATACCCCACCTTTCCTCCTCTTGACCGACAATCCTGACAAAGGGCACAGATTTGGGCTCCTCTCGGCGAGAGCATGAATAGCCCCGCTGTGGGCTGCTGGCCAAAACAACAACCGCCCCCCCGCCCCCTAAAAAAAGAAAAAAAAGCATTTGACTGTAGTCGATTGCCCCCGCCCTGGCGTGATGCCTGGGTCCATGGCCATGCTACAAAATCTTTTCCTAGATTTTTCATGTGATGGATGATGCATGTGGGAGACCGATGCCTCCGTATCGTCTGACAAGTTGTGCCTTTTTTCTTTTTTTAATAAAGAAGTTTGTGCCTTTTTGCAACCTGCAGTCGGTCTTTTGAATTCTTTTTCTTCTTCTGATGCATTTTATTGTCTGCGCTTGTCTGCAGGTTGTGCTCTTTGCTCCCAGAGAGAAAACAGGTGTTTACATGCCAATCTTTAAAGAAGCATGCAAATTCCTGAAGGGTGATGTAAGTACCAGCTTTGTGCTTTTTTTTTTTTTTTTTTTTTTTTTTTTTTTTTTTTTTTTTTTTTTTTGTCGCACAATATTGGCTCTGCCAGACCCCTTTGTTACATGTTTTTTTTTTTTTTTGGTGAGGAATGTGTCCTCATGGGGCTCTAGACAACATGCATATGTTTTGGACTGTGGCCCCCAGCAAGCCTCGTGCCCGCCCTAATTGAAGGCGGGCCTGAATATCCATGAGAGGCCCTCTTATTTCAGCATGTTCCAATGTGGGTATCAGACAGTTGGCGTACGCCAGTAGGTTGAAGTGCAACCTGGGCCTCACCCTGGGCTGTTCCAGAAGAAGCAGCTGCGTCAGGCAGTTGAGCACAGGACGCAGGTGGTTGCGCCCTCAGCACACCCATTTTGAGGCCGACGCATCATGAAGTGGCCGCAGGCCAATGAGAATGCAGCATTGTCGGCACACCAACCCCGCGGGCCAACGCAAAAACAGCAAACATTCGGAGCCTGGATGATCCTGTGCGTGTCCAACTAAAAAGGGCCCAGGCCCTCAACTGTAAACATGGGCCTGGGCGGAGACACTGGGGCCCGACCAGAAGCTACTGGAAACTTCCACGGCCAGGCCCAGAGAGTCTAGCAGCAGCAGTGACTCCCATATAGGGAGGAGGCCAGCCAGTGTGTAGCATGCTGGCCTTGCAGGCAATGCGGACACGCTGCTGCAATAGCGCGCAAGTGTCTGCATGCGCTACTGCTGGCTGGGGTGTGCGCGGGCGCTAAGAGGTGTGGGCTCTGCAGGGGCGAGGGCAGGTGAAGGGCGACGGTGGTCTTCAGGAAGGAGGCGCAGGTGTGGGTGGACAAGGGGTGATGAGGGGAGTCGAGAGAACTTACCTGGTGTATGTGGGAGGTCGGCATTGGTGTTGACATCATGTACATTGGTCTTCGTTGTCGAAGTGGGCCTGTTGCTCGAATGTAGATAGGCTAGGTAGGATGAGTATAGTAGACTGGGCACTGGGCGCCAGACAGTAGGAGCGACATTGAATTCTGCATTGGTGTGGCCTGAGGGCTTGGACATGGGCTCACAAGTTCATTGTTTCACTCTTATTGGGATGGGATCTTGGTGGATTTGAGCTCTCTGCTTGTTACATGACTATCTGGACTTCTGCTTGATTTTGCAACTTGGTTTTCTGTTTATCGCCCTCGCTCATATTCCTTGCACACAGATTTGTAATGCTTTTTGTTCGTTTGTTTTACATGTGGATTTGGATATGCTGATCAAGAATCACAGATTTAAACTTTAGCAATGATTTAAAATGCAGATATTGAAAACAAAGATTTATTACCGCAGTTGAGAAAACACGGATCCAAACGAACAGGTCCAAGCACACAGGCGTTTTCCGTTTGGTGTATCCTGCCGCTCTGCGGTGTGACTGGTACTGAATCTACTGATGATGGTCTTTTTTTTTTTTTTTTTTTGCAGGTCCTTTGTGTATATGTGGACAATGATGATGAAGAGGCGGCACATGTGCTTGTCTACTTCGAGACTCCCAAGGATGAAGTCAAGGTATGTGAGCTGTGATTGATGGGCTTGGCTCTCCGTTCAAGCAAGAGAACAGGGTGTTTGACTGCAATGTCTCAGAGTCAAAGCTCTCTCTTCTTGTTGCTCCGCGTCTTCTCTCGGCATCCATCTATCGAAAATCCTCAATCCGATCTCATAACACATGTCCTCTCTCTCTCTCTCTCTCTCTCTCTCTCTCTCTCTCTGTCTCTTTCTCTCTCTCTCTCTCTCTCTCTCCTGTCTCTTATACACATCTAGATGTGTATAAGAGACAGGAGTGTACCTCTCTCTCTGTCTCTTTCTCTTTCTCTTTCTCACACACATACACACACACACACACACACGCACACACTCTCACACACGCACACACACACGCACCTGTCTCTTATACACATCTAGATGTGTATAAGAGACAGCTCTCTCTCTCTCTCTCTCTCTCTGTCTCTTTCTCTTTCTCTCTCTTTCTGACTCACCCCCCCCCTGCACGTCGCAACTTCGGAAGAAGACTCTAGCCTACCCGCATGGATCTGCTTATCCTCCTCGGGCTGAATATGATTTTATCCATGAAAATCTTAAACACCCTCTTTGCGTGCCTATGCTGTTGATCAACAGACCTCTGAACTGCATTAAGTGACTGATCTGAATTTTCCTTCTTTTTTTTTCCCTTAAAAAAAAAGAAAATCCTTGTTTTTTTTTCCCCCCCCTTCTGTTTCGTCTGGGAAAAAGTGCTTCAATTTCTGAACTCTTTTTTTCTGTTCCTGATCGCTCTTCAGGTTTTTGGCTATGTTGGAGGTGGTGCTGGAGCAAAGCATTCCTTTGACGAGGACATGACCGTCGAGAAACTCACGGTGAGAGTCCGTTGGACCAACACAATCCCTAAACACAAATAGAACGCCCGTCATTATAGCTGTGTATTTAGGGCAAGTCCAGATGGGCCGATCATGACTGGCCAGTCTATTCGGGTGAAGACGGTACGGCCGTTGCATTGTCAAAAGGTAAGAAAGGCTGGTGCAATTCTTGTGTTGTGCATCTCAGGTTGCAGACAGGGGGGCTACAGGCTCGACCCTGCTACCCTGTTCACCCAAATTACCCTAATAGAATGCTCTGTCATTCTCGCCGTATCTAGACTGAAAGTTGCCCCACATACAGCAATAATGTTGTGTGACAGTTTTTGTTCGTCTCTTGTCTGTAAAGGGTGCGTACACACTTTCATATTGGCAAGTAAACTCTGACGGCGCAGATTCCATGAAGGCAGATTTGGAGATCTATACTTGTGATTACAGCAGCTCCCTCCCTCCTCTGTGTCGATATTTAGTCCTTTCTGTGAATGTTTACGTGAAGAGTCACACTTCTGATGACAGAGCATTCACCAAAAGGATTCTTCCTCTGTGTTGTTACTAACCTTGCGCTGTCTCTGTCTCTGTCTCTGTCTGTCCATCTGTCCGTCTGTCTGTCTGTCTCTCTGTCTCTCTCTCTCTCTCTCTCTCTCTCTCTCTCTCTCTCT